GTGGAGAACTTGGAGAGGTGAATTAACTTGAGATAACTGACATCCATTAGACATGGCACGTGGAACTAGAACAGTCTACCCCAGCGAGCGAAATAAAGGGTTCAGTTCGACATTCCAACCACCTGAAGAAGGCCTGAGCATACACCAGTTGAAACGTTGTGATAAATATGGCGACAAAGATGAGAACAATAGTCCGAATAATGTAAATAGTATATATATGAGGTGTGTTCAAAAATTATCTGATTTTATATTTTCCTGCCAAAACTAATGCCTAGTGGGCAAAATCTGTTGGAGGGGAGGTAATGCTACCCCTCTTTTTCATGAAGGTAGGACATGTCAGTTCCTGCTGTTATGTCTAGAGTACAGACATGTAGTGCACACTTGTCAGCTTTTTGTTTTAATGTAAGATGACCAAACAAATTGAGCAGAGATATCTTGCCAAAAGCTTGGCAATACTCAAGCTCAAACCATCCAGAAGATTCAGCAGGCCTTTGGTGATGATGCCATGGGGAAAACTCCGATCAAGGAGTGGTATAACCGTTTCAAACATGGCCGCACCTCGGTGGAAAACCCTTGGGTAAATTGTAACTGTATAAATTGTTCACAAAGTGAGAATAGAGCAGAGGATTCTATTTTAACAGAGAATTTGCGCATGCAAAGAATGTTGGAGAAATTCGTCCCCAAGGTGCTTGTGGAGCAGTGGAAGTAACTCCGCAGAGAAATTACATGGTTTTTAGATTGGAGAAGAGTCAGAAGTCCCAGAGTACCAAATCAGGAGAGTAGGGAGTCTGTTGAACAAGTGGTGTTGTTCTTGACGAATAAAGCTTGGTGCAGTATTTCTGCTTGATGTCTTTGTTTTAGAGATGGGTGATTTAACCGAAAAAACAACTTTTCATTTTCACATCATGAGGCCGCATCAAAATATTTTTTATGTCACCAAAATCGTTCATTTTTTTAAGTGCTATCACTACTGAGTGACCATATCCAAAGAAATACTATTGAAAAAGTCTTTCAGATGTTAATAAAATTAAATTTTATCAACATTTATACCATTGTAAGAGAAAATGATTGAACAAAAATATATTAAAAATATCTTTAATTGACTAGTTTTAGGAAATAAATGTGAAATCTATTTGTTTACAAAAGAAATGAAGAAAAAAAAATGAAATACTACATGATGTCTGAAATCTATTTGTTTCAGTTTTGAAAAAAAAATAAAATTAAGTTAAATAGTTGCTAGTTTCATCTTAATGTTAAATTTTATAAAGTCATTTTTTTTTATTTTGTTATTGTTTTCTCCAGTAAGTCATTGTCTACACCAATCATGAAATAAAGTTGTTATAAACAAGAAAAATGAATGAAGATCTTTTTTTTTATGAATAAATTTGTTTTTTTTTTATCTCTGGAATGCACCTAAAGTAGATATTAAGAATAATTAAAATAGTTCTTAATTTCACTTTTAAAATGTGTATATTTCCAGATATGCAAGTCTCTAAGTGTAAAAAAATTGTTTTCTACAAATAGAATTATATTTTTATCTAGCGAATAACACCTAAAATTAGATATTAAAACAAACAAAGTAAGTTTTAATCTCAGTTTTAAAATGTGTATATTTTCGAAACTGCAAGTCATGTTTTAAAAAAGTAAAAATTGTTCTTTTTAGCCACTAGTGTTCAGTGGGTGTTTATCACTGTTCTGCCTATGAAATTCTTCTAAACAAGGAAAATTAATTTATTTTATTTTTACAAATATCTTTATGGTTTTATCTAGTGAATACACTTAAGATTATATTAAAATGTTAAAAATAGTTTTTAAATTTCAGTTTTAAAATGTGTATTTATAAAAAGAACAGGTGATACTTGCACAGATTTGGAAATGTACATATTCTAAAAATGAAATTAAAAGCTTTTAACTATTTTTAATTTTAATTTTAGGTGTATTCGCTATATAAAAACATAAATTTATTTAGGGGAAAAAATAACTCGCTGATTTTCCTTGTTTAGAAGAAATTTATTTGCAAAATCCCAATAACAGTTGACTGGCATCTCAGAAAAGAATTGTTGTATTTTTAAAAACATGGGGGTTTCATTTTTTTGGCTTTTTAAAAGCCACATCATAAACTAATTTCTGAAGACCCATACCATTTTCTCTCTTGAAATGTGTTGTCCAAAGTCACAAATATAGATAGTTTATGCAACGGTTTCTTTCGTATTTTACCAATTTGTTAAATAATTATGGTAGTTATCTATATAGTTGACAATTTATTCAAAAGTTTAATAAATAAACTTTAATCGAAAACAAGTGTATATCAGTGTCAGACAGTAGTTTCAATAATTTGAAAGTTCTTTTACCACACATTTACTATCAGTTGCTCTTTTTCTGGCTTTTTTGTTTTTGAAAGGAATTTGCTTCCATGGGTCAAAGGAGAAATGAACATCTTCCTGGTTGTAGTTTAAGGTGTCTTCAAATTGAGTGTACAATTTCAAGAATATTGATAAAGATTGGTCACTTTGATTTTGTGAAACAAAGTAATGTGTAAAAAAAAAATTTAGCCTTGGGAGTAGGGGGGAGTCATGTTTTGCATTTTTGGCTGTTTAACTCACTGTAAAAAAATAATTCAATGACTAAAAGCACATACAAATTAGATATTTAGAAAGATTATTTTATTTTCTTTCCAGCCATATGAATATTTTTAAGATTGGACAAGAAATACATGAGAAATTGTGAGTTGAACAGACTAAGTTGCAAATTTATCAATCTCAAATGAAATCAGATATCAATTGGAAATGCTATCATTACACAAGAAAATGAATGGCTTCCTTAGAAAGTGAAAATACTAAATGAAAACCAAATTGAGAACTGCGGTATCAAGGTGAAAAAAACAGAAACCAAAACATAAATTGCCAAACTGACCAACTCTGCTTATCTTGGATGAAAACAAAAATCTGACAAGTGCGCACTACATGTCTGTACTCTAGGTGTAATAACCAGGAACTGAGATGGCCTACTCCTGCAAAAGTTTTCATGCATGTGCGGGAAAGGCGGCGTCACTTCCCGCCCAAATGATTTTGCCCACACGGCATTAGTTTTGTGGGAAAAAAATAAAGTCAGATAATTTTGAACACACCTTGTGTGTGTGTGTGTGTGTGTGTATATATATATATATCTGTCTATCTGTCTGTCTATCTATCTATATATATATATATAAAAAAATAAAAGAACAGTAAGATATATAATCTGATTGTTCTTATAGATATTTTATTTTTACAAAATAGTGCTCAATGTAAGTTTACAGAGCATTATATATATTATATATATATATATATATATATATATATATATATATATATATATATATGATAAATTAATTGATTTAAAATATTTTTTTTTTGTGTTAAAAGTTCTAACCATGTTTCATGGTTAGAACTGTTTGAAAAAAAAACATATTTTAAATTTTAATTTATAATATTAATGCTCAGTAAATTTACATTGAGCACTATTTTGTAAAAATAAAAAATCTATAAGAATACCGGATTATATATTTATTGTTCTTTCTTTTTATTTATATATATATATATATATATATATATATATATATATATATAGATAATTTTAGTGGAAAATATACATACATATGCAATATATATATAAAAAAAAAAATACCCTTTACATGTATATTTTCAAAAAAATTTTCCAAGATATGATAAAATATAGTTTTATGGTATGCTATGTTTATAGGGTAAAAGTGCTTAATGTCCAGGATAGAGTGTGTGTAAATATAAAAATGTGGACACTGGTGTCAACAGTGAGTGGCAACAGTCTGCTTCATGCTTGAGTGAATTCTTCAGGCATGAAGATTGTGTTCATCTATGAAACACTGTTGTCACTGAGTGTTGACATCCACATTTTCATATTTATATATAAATTAATTTACTGATACTGTAAAAAAAAAAATGTATGACAGCATATATGAAATTTTTTTTCCCAATGTTTATTGTTGTCTTCTGCTATTTCATGGTTACTAACCTTTCCTTCCAGCTTTGTAAACATCTCATAATCCAAGATGGCAATGTAAGAGAGAAAAAGTTACAGATTTTACAAAAGAATAAAATTTTTTTTTTTTTTTTTTTTTTTTATGCTTGAAATAATGATAATTTGCTAAGTATGAATAGGTTCAGATAAAATTACCTGATACTAAATAAGAGAATTGCAAAATAAATTTAACCATAACATCACCTCCCAACAAACTTATAACTGATATCACCACACCTCCTATTTAATGTTACCCCATCTCAAATTATGGAAGATAATTGAAATTTCTAAGTCTCATTAGGGTTATATTTTAAACAGAAAATAAGGTTCAGATTTTTAAACTTGCCAAACCTGACCCGGTTTAGCTAAAATTAACCGAGGCTCATAAATAAATAAAATAAACAGTCTACAGGACATATGCATCAATAAGTCTGGAGCCTGATGATACAAAATCAATTACCTTTTACACAACAAATACCTATTTTTCAACATTATGCTCTTCCTTGTCAACCCACTAAGTTCAATGGGAAATATTAATCATATACATTGAACATTATTCGGACTATTGTCCTCATCTTTGTTGCCATATTTATCACAATGTTTTTTTTTTGTACACTCCCAGCCTTCTTCAGGTGGTTGGAATGTGAACTGAACCCTTTATTTAATGCTTCACTGGGGTAGACTGTTCTAAGTTCCATTTTTGCCATGTTTTAATGGATGTCAGAAATCAGTTATCTCCTGTTAATTTCCCTCTGAAGGTTCTCCACTGCCTTAACCAGGTATTGAATTCACACTCTTTGGGTCCTGTCACTGGATCTAACCAACGCCTTTATCCACTGTGCCATGTGTCCTTGAACATTTTTTAATGAAACTTTCAAATCAAAAATCAGCAAATAATTATATCTCAAGCTACAAACTTATTGATCCATCCTCATATTTCTTTCTTTCTATCTATCTATCTATCTTAGTCTGTTCATATCTGTCTTATCTATCTTAGTCTGTTCATATCTATCTATCTTAGTCTGTTCATATCTATCTATCTTAGTCTGTTCATATCTATCTATCTTAGTCTGTTCATATCTATCTATCTTAGTCTGTTCATATCTATCTATTTTAGTCTGTTCATATCTATCTATCTATCATATCTATCTATCTATCTATTTTAGTTTTTAAAAACCCATATCTATCTTTTAAAAATTTATTTAGTCTGTTCATTAACTAAGAAAATAACCTTAGTCTGTTCATTATCTATCTACCTTAGTCTGTTCATTATCTATCTACCTTAGTCTGTTCATTATCTATCTCATTTTAGTCTGTTCAGAATCTAATTACCTATCTATCTTTTTTATATCTTCTGTTTTATTATCTATCTATCTACATATCTATCTATCTATCTATTTATTGAAGACTATTGAAAATAAAGAAATAAAAGTATATAAATAAAAAAAACAGTGTATATGACATGATCAATAAGTCTAGAGCCTGATGGTACAAAATTGATTTCATTTTATACAGCAAATATGTATTTTTCAACATTATCCTCTTCCTTATCAATGCATTTGATTTGCCCAACTACATGTAATATCACCTTAAGATATCTCACAAAGACCTTTCTGCTATGATTACCCCTGCCTCTCAATTTAATGTTACCCCACCTCCTCTCAGTTTGTAACTGAAATTAGGGTCATATTTTAAGTATGAAATAAGATCAGCTAAAATTACCCGATGCTAATAAAAAAGAATGAAAAACAGTGTAGAATTTTGATCTGACAACCACATATAGACATATGAATGTTCAGGACATTTTTCAAGTAAATGTTGATTCTGATGACAAGTTTGAAAGTGGTGGCTGTGATTAGATGAATTTTGTCCTCATGATGATTCAGACCTTAACATTACTGGCAACAGTTAAAATTAATAACAATTTCTTTGATATAATTATAATTTTCAATATATTTTGCATTTTTCAGCAATGTTATTGTATTTTGATCCCATGGCCTGAACCAGATATTAATTTAAAAAAAAATGCTTTTACGATATACAATGTACATCACCCTACAAGAATATATATCATATAGAGAACTTGTGTAGATAGTTTATAAATTGAATTTAAATTTAAGTTAACTATCTCAGTTAATTATCTAACCACCTGCCTGCCTGTCTGTCTATTTACATATCTACCTGTCTATGTAGCTAACTAGCTGTCTGTCTTTGTACCTAGCTAGCTAAGTCTCTGTCTACCTAGCTAGCTAGATAACTATCTGTCTGTCTAGCTGTCTGTCTGTCTAGCTAGCTGTCTACCTATCTTATAAACATTTTCTGAAAAGGGTTAATGATAATTTTGTATAATGGTGCTTTCTCTGGTATGAATTGCTTTTAAGTAGCAATCCATAGTGCATCTGCAAATAAAAATCTTATTATTTAATATCATGTGTATGTCACCATATTTAATTTTAAGTTCAGGTATTGATGTTTCAAAACTGTTCTTGATAATCCATTTTGATTTTAATGTACTTTCATCTTCATTTGTTAAAATTAATAATAGCTGAAAATGCATCATTTAATAAAAATAAAATAATATAAAAATGACATTGTTATTTTTATGTAGTTTGAAATGAATTTTGGAATTTTTTTTTTTAATTATAATAACAACTTTTATAAATCTCAGCTGAATATTTGTATTTGGTTAATTTATAAAATTTGCTTATTTTGTGCCTGATCATGACTCTCCACATATTCCTTTTTTATTGTTTGTAAATTAGTATGCATTCTTGGGAAAGATAGTGGAGTGGTCCCCCATTGCTTACTCAACAGTTTGGAATTTTCCTTTTCTTAGATTGGTTGTTCCCCAAATCTCCAGAACTTAGTTGACTCTCCTATTTAATGAATAGCAGGGCAGGGGGTAGAAGAGATGGGTTCATGCCTTTACTAAGAGCATTTGTTTAAAAGTAAATGCAATAAACTAGCTTGGGATTTGAACTCTGATCTTTGTCAGTATATTCATTACACTATTTGTACATAGTGACAGGTTTGGGACAAGGAAAAGGTGCAGAAGTTATAGGGGGGTACGGTGGAGGTAATTGATAGCGGCTCAGATTGAGGAATCTGAAAGCTGAGTTTGAATTCCATTATATTCACTTACATGCTAATACCTTTGGCAAAGATATGAATCCTCTTCTTCTCCCCCCAGCTATGGGTAAATAGCAGGACAGACTGGATTCTATAACCTTGGATGTCAACTGGTCTACTGCAGAAAGAAATGGCAGCCTACTGTGGGGATAAAAATCTGCCTCATCAGTCATGTATCAAAAAGATACATGATCACCTAAGTGTTTATCATGCATGGCACATAACTGACTTATGCTGTCAAAAATTATGGTATATTTTTAGTCAATATTGTTATTTGTAAGTTTTCATGTTGTAGTGGTTTCACAGTGGAGGCTTGTATTTGTACTAAGTCAGTCCTAAAATATGTTTGACGTACAAAATGTTAGGAACTTGATATAATAGGTAATGACACAGTAATCTAGTTGTGGTGGCTGATACTTTAATATCTGACTAACGGTCGTCCGACATCGACTGATTGACCAACTCACTGAGCGACTCTCGACTGCTACTACGCCTACTTATTATAGGTGGGAGAGTCTATTAACTATAGAATAGGTGTGTTCCACTATAACACATGTGCATGTATTTAAATATTTATTCCAGTTATTTTTGTTGTATTCTGTTTTTTCCACTTCCCAGGTCATTGTAGCTTTGAACATCTCAAAAGCTTTTGACAGGGTTTGGGATACATGTCTTCTCTCCAAGCTGAAAAGTTATGGTGTCTCCAGACAAATTTTTGAACTGATCCTGTTTTTTTTCTATCAAATCATGAAATGAAAGTTATCCTGAATGGTTATTCATCTAGATCCTTTTGTATTAATCCAGTTGTCCCAGTGTTCTGGGTAAGACGATAAACTATTTCCAACAGCAAGGCCTCTGATCAGGAGGCTTTGAGGAGCGTGGAACCTCCTCTTAATTGCTGGTGTTTCCAAGTTGATCCTGACCCGGGGTGGTAGCACCTGTTAGGGTCCCAGCTATGGGCAAATAGTTAACCCTGAAACAGAGGTAAAAAGCATTATAAAAGTGTAAAAATAAGTTTTAAAATCAGAAATGCTTTGTAAAAAAATTATTACCAGAAATAAATTTTTGAAGAAAAAAAATATTACCAGCAATACGTTTTTGAAAAAATATTACCAGCAATACGTTTTTGAAAAAAATAATATTACCAGCTATACATTTTTGAGGAAAAAAATATCAACAGATAAAACAAAAATATTAACAGAAAAAAGTTGTCGGCATTAAATGACCCATTAGGGGTGATATGCTGTAAACCAAACCAAACCAAACCTGTTGTCCCCCCAGGCTCCATCCTTGGTCCTGCTTTGTTTTTAACTTTCATTAATGACCTTCCTGATGGCACCAGCTCTCAACTTGATATCTACACTGATTACACAACCATTTACACCTGTCTTGATTGTAAATCTGATCAGTTCAAAATGGCACCTTGTGTCCAAAACAAGCTTCAGTTTGTTGTTAAGTGGGGCAAAAGATGGCTTGTCAATTTTAACACATCCAAAACTAATCTTCTCTTCATTAAGACCCTTCTCTGCCTTTCATCAGTGAAGGAAAGTGACTCATTGTGCCTTTTCGGGCCAATGGTAAACTATATGGAAAACTATATTGACTCCATTGCTAGGTCAACTGTAAAAAAGGTTGGTTAACTGTGTCATGCAAGACAATTTTTCTCTCCTAAATATTTTTTTCTATCCTACATATCTATCTAGCTGCCACATATGTTCTGGTGCTCCTGCTATTTATCTAGAGCTCCTTGATAAAATCCAAAGAATCAGCAATATTATTGGTCCTGATCTGGCATCTTGGCTTCAGTTACTTTACCACTGCTGAAAGGGTTGCCTCCCTGTGCCTTTTCTATAAACACTTTCATGGTGAGCTCTTCACTATGGTGTCTAGACTTTTTAAATTTAAGTACAGTACTAGACTGACATCAAGATCTTATTACAGTAGAATTGGCTAGATGTAACCATAAATTCTATGCTAGCAGTTTCTTTTCTTGCACTTCTCACTTGAGGAACTCTTTTTCAGTTCCATGCTTTCTAGCCAACTTTAATTTTCAAAAATTTATATTCAATGTCAGTTGCTATCTGCTGTCGTCCTGATTATTATTTTGTTCTCGCTCATTAGCAATGTTTCTGTTCCTAATTCTTCCACACCCTGTTTATTGGTTTTGTCTTATAACTCTTTATTTGAATGTGATTAAAAATAAAAAAAAAAGTTACAACATAATTGATGGATATAATGTCAAAATTCCGATATAAATAAATGTATGTGTAAAGACAAAAAGATTCATCCAGAAATAAAATATATTTATCTATAAAAACAAAAAAAATTATCCAGAAATATATTTATCTGTAAAAACAAAAAGATTTATCCAGAAATATATTTATCTGTAAAAACAAAAAGATTTATCCAGAAATATATTTATCTGTAAAAACAAAAAGATTTATCCAGAAATATATTTATCTGTAAAAACAAAAAGATTTATCCAGAAATATATTTATCTGTAAAAACAAAAAGATTTATCCAGAAATAAATTTATCTGTAAAAACAATATTAATAAAATAAATGACAAGAGGATAGTTTTTTATGTTTTGTATCTTGAGAAAACTTTATTAAGAAAATTTCTAGACAGCTTTTTGGATTAAAGTTCAAGGACAAAAACATGTTTACATAGTTTTCTTGTCATTTCTTATATATAGTATGCAATTTGTACTCAGTGTCACATCACAAGAGCCAGTTGCATCATAGCATTGACCTGTAAGGTGTCCTCATTTCATTTGCAGATTCATGCCACCTGACATACCAAAAATGGTTGCCTCCAACATGTAACTAATATAACACCCAACTGAGCTTAGGATATGCACATGTGGGACAGCTTGATGACAGTATGATATAAGAGTACCCCACTCAAGAGGGGAAAAAAAACCCCAAAGAATCTTTCACATTTTCACAAGGAGATTTATGTTTGAAGAAAGCTCCCAGAACTACACACCATCACATCAACAGTGACAAAACCTGGAGGTGAATAAACAATAATTTT